CGGGGGCTGGTTCTGTAAATACGTATCCTTTACGTGATCTAAGAGGACGGCATGATGAGACCTGTTTCACCCGACCTCTTGCGACTTCATTATGAGATTGACAAACAGACACCATGTGCTGCTCTGGGATGGCCAGTCCCGGCTTTTAAGTCTTTGCTCCGAGATTTTGCAGTGACTTAAACTTCCCAATATCCTTGGGTCCTCTGGGAGCAAAAGATCTCAAGAAGCCACCGGGAGCATCAAATCAGAGCAGAGCAAGTCTAAAAAGAAACATGCCTGGATTACACGTTGTCAGTATAATTTTCAGCCACGTGGACCACTTCTTATCTGGAAGGGATGACCGTCTACCAGAGCTCATATGCACATTTACGCATGAAATGTGCAGACAGTCTTGGAGGTAAACACGAGCAGGGTAAGTGAGCGTTCCCAGTCTATGCACATAAAAGTTTGTAAAGGCAAACATCAGACATCCCAACCAAGTCTCCCCTGGTTCCACTCCAGGACCTCAAATGTTCTGGAATCGAGGGAAAGGGCTTCACTTTCACAGGCTGAGACTGAAGCAGACATTGCCCTTACACATCATTCTAGGACTGCCATGATGTCAAGTAGTCTCTCAAATTAATCACAAATTATGGGCAGCCTCATAATAGCCTTTGCTGACTGGAGAAAGAAAATAAGTGACACAAATAGCCTCCCAGCACTGGCATACAAGAGACGTTTCCAGATGTTTGAGATGAATTTTTAAAATGTTCAATTTAGATTAAAATGTCATTTCCCATTCAACAAAAGGAAGGGTATGCATGAATTCCAAAACGTTAAAATATCTTCAGTTGCGTTCAGCTTAAACTGTACACAATTATTTTAAAATACTGAGACAAATGAATGGACAGTGCATAAATAAAATAACTATGGGGGAAAAAGACAATATTACTTTTTTACTGTGTTTTAGTTTAAAAAGTTGTACTTATCTAGTTTTCCGAGTTGGGAAGAAGGTATATATTTCTGATGCTAGAATAATCTTCATATTTATTCATTAATAGTATCTAGAGCAGTAATTGCACACAAATAGGGTCTTTCAAAGAATGGCTATTCTCATCCCTTTATCAAATAGCTTAGATTAGAAATCTATCCTTTTCCCAATAATCATTGATACCTCGGAGGGATTAGAAAGATGTTAGGGCTAATTTGTAACAAAAATAAATAGTTGATTTGAACTAAGTAAATTCTAATTATGCCAAATGTTTCCATATTATATCAAAAAAAGACAAGCATGGGCTTCCCTGGTGGCGCAGTGGTTGAGAGTCCGCCTGCCGATGCAGGGGACACAGGTTCGTGCCCTGGTCCGGGAGGATCCCACATGCCGCGGAGCGGCTGGGCCAGTGAGCCATGGCCGCTGAGCCTGCGCGTCCAGAGCCTGTGCTCCGCAACGGGAGAGGCCACGGCAGTGAGAGGCCCGCGTACCGCAAAAAAAAAAAAAAAAAAAAAAAAAAAAAAGACAAGCAATGCAGAGTGTTTGTCTTTTTTAAATTTTAAATTCATTAAAACTAGGCAATTCATTTAAATGGTGCACAGGTTCTAAAAAGATATGAAAGGCAAAACGATGGAAAATCCCCCTCCCTTTTCAGTGCCTACCTCTTATCTCAACTTCCTGCCTGGACAAATGAGAACATATGCTTCCAACTAACAACCATGTGCAAAACTTCCAAACTATAATCTTTCATAAGCCCATTCGCTGCAATTAAGGAGGCCCACAGCGTTGCCTACACGCGGTTCTGCAGTACCTTGCTTTCTAAGAGTGTCACTCCCTCAAGGTAACTTTACACTCACCTAGTGCCTGTGAAATGGGGAAGAACACATATGTGCTTATTACGTATCTTTAGGAGCCTAGGTTGTCACAAGGATTATAACAATTTTCTATAAAGTTGCTCACTTTCCAATGCATTTGCGCATCCCATCCACCACATTTAGATGACAGCCTAGTAACCGATTGCTTCATCTCAAGCCACCCCCCGGGGAGCTTCCCAAGACGTGGATGCACTTAGCAGTAAAATATATGCCTGGATATCATAGTGATTTGCTCCATAAACTTTTATGAGAAACATTCCTTGATCTTTTTTGATTTCCTGGTACTGTTACATTTATGAGGGGCAGGTGGGCAGCTAATGGGTATAAATGCTCACTGGCAAATTCAATTTACTTTCTATTTCCTGTGAGCTTTTATTTATTATTCACTCAGGCTTCCAATTTAAAGATTTTTCTATACTTGTGTACCCATATATTTCTCCACCTGTGTAATTTCTACTATTATAAATAAAACCCTAATTTTTAATAAAGTTAAAGCCAAATCACCATTTCGGATAATTTTGTACAAATTAAAGAAAATATTGGCCATCATTTTATACATTGCTTTCTGTATCTTTTCCAGTATTCTGCACTGTTAAGCATTTCATATATTTTGGATGTTCTATTTTCCTAGATACATTTCTAAGTATTATCCAAACATTAAAATGTTTTTCTTATATCCATATACTGATTCATATAAATACTGACAAAGCATGTTTACTGAAATATAGTGCCAATTATTATTATGTTAGCCATGAGTTTTTTCTTATTTTCTGTATCTAATGAGATATAAGCGACTTATTTATGATAACTCAAAAAATAAATACCACACACACACAAAAATCTATGAAAGATTTACTTATCGTAAATCTTGAGTATATCCCCAAATACTCTCTACCACAGCACACCCTCTTATTTCCTTCTTAGGACTAAAAGAATTATATTTACTTTACTTGCTTGCCATGTAAGAATATGGATCTATAAAACAGCAGGGATCTGTCCTTTATTCACTGCTGAGTCCCCAAGTAGAGGCTTCTTTTTTGTTAAGATTGTTTTGATGTGGACCGTTTTTAAAGTCTTTATTGAATTTGTTACAATATTGCTTCTGTTTTATGTTCTGTCCTTTTGGCCACGAGGCATGTGAGATCTTAGCTCCACGACCAGGGATCGAACCCGCATCCCCTGCACTGGAAGGTGAAATCTTAACCACTGGACCTCCAGGGAAGTCCCGAGACATTTTAAGTTCAGGGCTTAAAGGTGAAAAAATGAATAACCCCATGATTTTCAATACTATTACATGATTTTATACTACATAAAATTAGAAATAAAATTACTGGTTTTATTTTTCATCTCTAGATGAAGTTTAAAAAACTTCAGTAAACTCTATTTCAAGTTTCTCCAACAATTTAGAGACTATTCATTTTGAAATGTTAATCGTATAATCTGGATGTGGGTAACTATTTTCCAAATATAATAGCACTCACAGGATTGTTGTGAGGATTAAATGATAGAATTCCTGCAAAGTGCTTAAAGCAATGCCTGACAGATAGCAAGAACTCAAAAAGCCATGTATTAAATGTTTCTGTACATCAATCCTCCGAAAAACTTCTCTTGGCTTTCAAGTTTATTTTTTCCATTACTAGGTGAGAAATCCCCGAAAACTGTAGTCAGTCCCAATTTGCATAAGTCACAGAGAGGAGAATGACTGTGCCCAGGTTACAGCTGACACTGATTTGCCCTTGACCTTCAGGAAGTCGTTGACCCTGCATCTCAGTTATTTTATGTGTTCAACAAAAGAGCTGACTCAGCATTAGCCGACCGATCACTTCCACATCTGACAATCAAGGTATCTACGATTTCTTCACGGAGTACTTGGATGGTCAAATTTTTAAGAGCTCTGTTTTTCCATTAAAAATTTTGATAACTCTTTCAGCAGTGTATTTGCTTATTTTGTCTCTTGTCCTAAAATACTATAAGCTCTACAAGCGAAGGGACTATTTATATATAAATGTTACATAATCTGTTAATTTAATTGAAGGTCAATGACAACAGATGCTTAAACTAACGTTATCTCTAAGTTGGCCCGTGTTGTATCTATTATTACAACAACGTAGATGTGCAACTATTCACTCTATCTTTTATTCTAATCAACAGGTATGTTTTAAATCATATTTTGTCCTTGATGATGTCACGATGCAGCATTTTAGCTCAAACATCTCATCTCAGTAAATTTTCCACAATTACTCTACACGTTTTTATTTTTGCAAAGTCAACATAAATGTTGCAATAAACTTAAACTTTAATTACATCTATTCCTGAATATCTTTGTCATGATTTACTTCCTGATACAGAAATAGAATTTTGTGATAATTTATAAGTTAGACTGATCATTAGTGTGAATGTATTGGTCAAAAGTCATTCACCTTTTTATTTATATTGCTGAGGAAAATAGCACTATATTTAATACCTAGAGCCTTCAATAACCTATAACCTCTAGAGGAGACTCAAAGGTTGAATACTAACCATATTATGAAAGTATTGATCAGTGAGTACTGTATTTTCATTTCTGTAAAGCTTGACGTGATTTAATGCGTGAGGTTAATTTGTTGAATTTTCATAACTGGCCGTTCCATAACCTAGATCAAGAATATTATACGGCAAATTTTTACTCATGTCCAATTATTTCATGTGTTTACTGTTTCCTGCACAGCATAAAGATCAAACTTTTTGAAAATTAAGAAAATGGGTCAACCAACAATGAAAAACTGCCCCAAAGACAGCAGACGAATATATATGGGTTACATTGTTTATATCCATAACGTTTGGCCCTAATATGAATCCTGTCAGAGCAGAATTTCTAGGCAACATCTAAGAAAACCACTGCCTGGAGAGTTCATATAAAATAAAACGTTGAAAACCTCTTGCTATCCAGAATTACATAGAGAAAAGCAAAACTATCTAGTGATAAAATAAATTTTAACTTTAGTGGATGTCATTTTATGAAAGATTTAAATATATCAACATATAGATATAATGTTTATAAATACTGAATTTATTTTTTAACTAGTTTTCTCTGTTCTGTCCCTAGCATATTTTAATATTGAAACAAATCTTTGAAATAAGACTTAGTTTTGTTTAATTTAAAGAATATTACTTACCAGTGCCTTTGTAGTATTTTGTACAGTTACCATATTCAATATCTTCCTTTTTAATATCAAATTGAGGCAAGGCAATTTTTTCTAATTGAACAGGATCCCCTGACTGCCAGATAAATCGTAAGTCATCAGTTGTGTAACCAACTATAAACAAAAGGAAATAAAATGTTAGTTTGAAATATAATTATGGACACTTCCTTAACATCTTAACATCCAGATATTAAACACAGAAATGGTAAAACAATAGACCCTTTTATGAAACTTTTGTTAGAAATGTAAAGAGGTAAAATCTATGGCCACTAATAAAAATATTAGCACAAGTTACAGATAATCGGCTTAAAGAAAGAACAAGCTAAAGTAATCAGCATATCACAGATGGTAAAAATCCTCGGGGGGCATGAACAGTAGTACATCTGTCTATGTCAGAATTCCGAACCGTCATCAATGAAAAAGTAGCAAATAAGTGATACTAGCTTTCTGAATGTACACATTTACAATCATGCAATATGCTACCTGGAGATTTTTAAAGAAACTTAAGCACCAAAATGGGTTTTTTTGAAGAATTCACTACCAACTTCCCTAGAGGAGTTGCATGGCCAGAGGAGAGCAATGAAACAGCCCCTCAAATGGACATCACTCCATCACTAGAGCCTCCTGGAACCCACATTGTGGGCTTAGGTAACCTGGCTACAATTCAAGGGCCCCATGGGTTTACAGCATGTTGTAGCCTACCGTTCAACTCTTACACGCCTATATTTTTTAAAGCCATACTTTAGTGTATCTAGTAATAGAATTGAAGGTATATACACATTTGGAATTATTTATAAAAGATGCATATTGACACACAGGCACACGTACATACAATACACACACAGACGTGTACCTACATACATTTATATCTGCAAAATCTCACATGATAGTTAGAAAGCAAAAAATATTGTTCAAATTTAGGATCCAGCTTTAGTAAATTAAACAACAACAAGTAACCACTAAGTGACTTTAAAGCATGCCATCAAGCAGGCACCTACATTTTATAAGGTGATTTCTTTGTAGGAACAGGTCACAGTATGTGGGTATTCAGGCTGAAGAGTCCTTCCATTAGTGTTAGTTTTTCAAGTTTTATTTCCTACTTTGATTTTCACATGACAAGCTTCATAGCAAATTAATTAATAACTATATTTTAGAGATAAGCATTTCAATGACTACACCTGGTACCTCTTTTAGAAACTGAAAAATATATGATTCTAGAAATATAGAAAATCTAAAATCCAATTTTGTAAAAAATATTTTTTTTATAGATCCATAGAAAATGAACGCTTGGTAGGATTTAGATAATATTTTTCAATGTTTTCCAAATTTTCTGCTCTGAAAAATGTGGTTTTAGCATTAGAAGAGTTATTAGGACATCATTTTCTCCTTTACCTTGCCTATATTACTAACTCAAATGCAGGTGGCAATTGGAATAAGTTAGAAGGGTACACACCTACACCTACGGCAACTCAACTGAAACCAACTGGTAACAAAAGAATTCATCTATCTTAGTATACAAATTAATACAGTAAAAGGAAAACTATAATTTCCCTAAATACCTTATTCTAACGTCTATTTGGAATCAAAAGCATTAGTTTCACCGTTATTATCTAAGATATTAGTAGCATGTATTGCCTAGAAATTTTAAGCATTTTTATCCCTATGGTGACTTAGGGTCTCATTTACATACAGCTCTCAAGTTGCATCTTGCAACGTTGTGTATCCATGGGAAACAAGGTCAAGTCCAAAGGGCACGAAAGAGTAATAGATAGCCTGAAAGCAGAAACAGACGTCTTAGAAGTTGTTTAACACATGTCTCCGTGATATACTGATTTTTAAAGGAAAATATGAATCTACAAATATTAGAGAGAAAAGAGTACCTCATGCTGACGAGGACATCTCCATCCCGAAAAATAAAGAGGAGAATATTTTCCTGGGTTACATCATGAAAATTGGCACTTTTTTCATTTGCAAAAAATAAATCAGGTTTCCACAGACACTTGTACATCGTGGGGTCCACCGTCAGGGCATCTGAGCCCCGGAAATCGCTAGGCAGCTTCAGTCTGGGGTCGTTCCACTTCTGTCTCAGGAAGATGTTGACTCTATAATCCTGGGAAAATTACGTGTGCGTGTGTTTACTGCCATTTTTAAGACTGCGTTCAGCACCGGAATAAAAAGGGTTCAATCGTTAGCAGCACAAATACGTTTGCTCTTCCAACATTAACAAGGATCACAATAGCTTGGTATAAGAAGCCCCTCGTGTCTTTCTAAGACTCTCTACAGACATCCTCTTAGCGCTTGCGAGTTCAAACGTCGTCATAGAACTTTACCAATAATTGCTTTACTGTAATACAAACACCAATTATACCAGGGGGTTAGTGGGTATTGTCAAAAAAGCACAGGAACTGCTAAATACTGCCATTATTCTTTCCCCAAAAGTAGGATACATTTCCATTAAAAATAGATAAGAAGCCAAGAGAAAATATTTCACTTGTATCTTACTAAGTAGCAAACTACAGAAATAATTTATATGTATATAAAGCTACAAGGGGGCTCGGGAGGGAAGGATTGGGAGTTTGGGGTGTGCAGATGGAAGCTGTTTATCCACAGGATGGATAAACAACAAGGTCCTACTGCAGAGCACAGGGAACTACATTCAGTAGCCTGGGATAAACCACCGTGTAAAAGAACTTTTAAAAGAGTGTGTATGTAAGTATAACTAAATCACTTTGCTGTACAGCAGAAACTAACACAACACTGTAAATCAACTGTACATCAATAAAAATAAAATAAAACTCCATATATGTTTAAAACACATACTTTAGATACATACTTGAGGAAGAAAAGGAAAAATGATCCTTGCCTACTCATACATGTAAATGATTATACAGAGGTAGTCAAATAACATTTGGATTTTGCCAAACAGATGAGAGTACATGAAACATGTGTAAATGTTATATTCAACTCCAGTAGGAAAAGGTTTTGAAATCCACGAAACAGCTGATTATTTTTCTTCAGTTTTTTGCCTATCTCCAAAGTTTTAATTGTAAAACTTTGTAAAAGTTGGATTATATCAAGACATGTATATTCTAAGAATAGATGAACCTGGAAACATTGTTTAATACCTTAATACATTTTATATTTGCCAGTGAAATGAGGTTCTGCCACACATTGGGTTACTGGGGTATATACAGTCCAAAGCAGCATGGTGGCATTATGCTCAGGTTTTTTTATTTTAATTTTATATGCTGAACTCAGAATATGCACCAAAGTGCTCAAGGCATAAATGACATTGGGCTTCAGCACCCTTATTTTCAACCATTCAAAATTCACAAAATACTATTATCCATGGCCTTTTGACATGATCAAAATGAATCAGATCATAAACTTCAAATCAAAATCCAAATATTTAAATAGGAAGAGATGATAGATTTTCTTTCTTTAAATAATAAGACCTAACATATTTATATGAAACATAAATGCGCACATTTTATTTATGTATAAAATATAAAATAAGCAATGCGCAGTGACTAGGAAAATTTGAGGAATTCACTGTCTCTCTCCTATGATGTTCAGATTCCATAATAGTAATCAGAGGAGGGTAAGGCACATATTGATAATAGATATTTCCTGAACGACAGACAGTGAAGTAAGATTTAACTTACCTACATCTAACAGCTAGACTTGATGTTTATAAAAACTGCAACACATATAACACATTGTAAATCAACTATACTTCAATTAAATACATGTTTAATAAATAAATAAACTTCAACACATAATATAAATTGGTTGTTAAAAATCATACGCAGATGGTCTTGAAGTCAAATAAATTAAGAATCATGTAAGCTGGCACTGAACATATCTGTACCACTGGCAGGGAAAACAAAATAACATTTTCCTAATCAAACGAACATGGAATCAAGGAGGACGTGAAGGAGACCTAGGACCCTGGAAGATGAAGACCTGCACTACGCAGCTCCATTAACTTTTCGTCAAATATACACATATCTTACAATTCATAATGGGACTTAAGTGGCTACCTCATATCTGATTGTGACAGCAGAAATTAGCTCAAAACGTGTCCAGGACATAGGCCTATCAGCTGGTAAGCCTTCCAGCGGCCACAATGCTGCTTCCTGACCAAAGTTTTTCTCATCCCAGAAAAACATGCATGGCCCCCAACTTAAGAAGAAATACACCACAGATCTGATCATTTCCAAATGAAATTCCTAGTATGCTAGCTTCGCGAAAGCACACGGTTGATATACACTTGCCATTACTTTGCGCACTTAACAGTATCCAATTCCAAATTATTTGCTAAAAAGCTTTCCTGTAATGATCGGCCAAAATGACTGGTATTCTAAAATTATATACAGTAAAAGCTATTCTATTACCCTCGTATAACTACTGTTTCTTATCCAGGTAAATCATCAAACACTACATCTTTAAGCTGTGGTATTTGAAATACGCATTCACGGTATTATGATAAAATACTGTGTCCTAAGGGTCAGATGAGGTTGCCGATGTATCTTTCATAAGCTTATTATTAAAGCTATGGTCCCTTATTTTGGTCAATAACCATGACATGAAAATACTGAAGATGAATTTTTCTTTAATTTTTCATTTGCTCATCCAAATATGACTATAATACCTTTGTAGAGGTATTTACTACGTGCTAGCCATATTTGGCCTAAGTGCCTTACAAAAATATGACTATGTTTGGAAGTTTATACTGTGAAAATGGTCTCTTGGTGCTCATAAATGCTTCCTATTACTGGGAAGTACCAGGTAAGCTTATTGTCGTGTTTCCTTTCTGTCTGGCAGCTAGGGAACTGAAAGCTAAACCCTGCAGCTAATTGAATGCATGTATAGCTCACATCCTGGTATGACTGTCATGGTATGGCTCCTACACATTTAGTACTGTTTCAATTATTGTATTTTTGTTATTATTATACACTGTAAATCCTCTCCAGAAACAGGGGGCTGGATAAAAAAATAAATAAGTTGAGACACTGCCATATACTGACAAGACTCTTTCGGTATTATTTGGGCACAACTCCCAAGCAGCTTTACCAGTGTGGCTTCCAAAACTGGATGCTTTGTTTTAGCCTAATATTAGGTTTCATTACTTTGAAGAGGGTGAGAAATATGTGTAGAGATAGAAATATTAAGATCTCATTGGTATTCTTTATCTAGACCCAAGCAACTACATTTTGCTTCTCAGTAATTAATTTCTAAAGACATTATATCACTATTTTTTTAATATCAGAAAGATATCTGACAGGAATTAAAGCAACGCTAACCTTTAACTTCAGCATGTTCTGCATAATTAAAAAAGAAGCCATCTTACAATGTTTGGGGTGGAACTTCAGGAATTAAGCCTGCATTATGTCGCGCTCCCCTCGAAATCTCCACACAGGCACACATTCTTTTGGGAGCACTGTTCTACTTCCCACCTATTTCCAAAATGGAATGGTTAACTCATCTAAAACTGTATCGCAAAATTATTTTTCTTTTAAAATTTTTATAGCACTTGCAATAGTGTTTTTCCATGTGAAGTCCATTTTTCTAAATTCTTCTTGAAGTCTAAATCAATGTTTCCACACCATCCCAGAATATATTCATGTCATTTATCATTTATTAAGTTCAAAGCATTTTAATCAGCTGAAAGCTGATGAAAGCCCTAGATAGTGTCAGAGACCTTGACAAAATAAACTGTCTGTGTGAAAAATTACAAAATTACAAATGATACAAGAATGTTTTAATCTACAGTCAGCCCTCTTTTTATTCTATATGTCTGAGACAGGCTGGGACCTGGGACCTGGGACCCTTTGCTGCAGGGCTTGCACCTGGACACACGTTTCCTGCAGTCATAAAGAAACTATAAGGGACTAAAAATAACTGACAACAGCAAATGGAAATGAGGGTGTGGAGCAGTAGGAACTCTCACTGCTGCTGGGAATCAAAATAGTACAGCTACTTTGGGAGACAGTTTGTCAGTTTCTTACAAAACTAAACATACTCGTATCATATTGCACTCCTTGGTAAGTACTCAAAAAAGCTGAAAACTATGTCTACACAAAAACCTGCAAATAGATATTTATTGTAGCTTTAGTTATAACTGCCAGAACTTGGAAGCAACCAAGATGTCCTCCAGTGGGTGATGGATTAATAAACTGTGCACCATCAGGCAGTGGAATATTATTCGACACTAAAAGGAAATGAGCCGTCAAGCCATGAAAAGACATAAAGGAGCCTTAAATGTATGTGACTAAGTGAGAGAAGCCAATCTGAAAGGGCTGCATACTGTATGATTCCAACTATAATGGCATTCTGGAAAAGGCAAAAACTAAGGAGACAGTAAAAAGATCAGTGGTTGCCAGGGGTTAGGGGGAGAGAAGAATGAACAGGCAGAAGACAGTGGTTTTCCAGGGCAGTGAAATTCTTCTGTTTGATACCATAATGGTGGATACATGTCATCATATGTTTGTCAAAGCCCATCAAATGGACAATGCCAAGAGCAAACCCTAATCTAAACTCTGGATTTTAGGTGATGATGTGTCCATGTAGAGTCATCGATTGCAACCAAAGGACCACTTTGGGGGAGTAAATCCACAGTGGAGGAGACTGCACGTCCAGGGGTAAGGGGCCGACAGGAACTCTCTACGCTTTCTGCTCATTTTTGCTGCGAACCTAAAACTATTCTAAAAAATAAAGTCTACTTAAAAAAAGGAAATGCAAAAAATTATGTAAACAAAAGGAAAGGGAATAAATAAAAGGTTAGCCAAAATTTGGAGACAGGCAAAAAGATGGCCCTTTCAATATCACACTAAATGCTATCTAACAAGCCCACCTAAGGGTTGTATGAGTCTCTAGGAAAATGTAACTTTGTTTGACTTGCCATTTTCTATAGATTAGGACCCAGACTCTGTACAATTATGTCATTTCAAGAAGATTACTAAATTACAAATGATTTCTGTCAGGTAGGACAGACACTCCCAAAGGTATGCCTTTATTGCCCTGTAGAACATTAACAAGTATATCTAATTTAGCAACCTAATTGCAGCATTCTTTCTCTCCAGTCTCCTGAATTCTCCACTGAATCAG